CATGTTAATATAATTATCTTGCATTTGAACACGAATATCTTTGTTGTCTACAAAAATTTGACAATACAAATTTTAATAGAAAAATTCAAATTCTTGTAGATGATATCTTGCATGTCTACATAATTATCTCGCATATATTAACATAAGGATCTTGCATGTTTATTTAACTTGCATGTCTGCATAATTAACTCGCATGTTGACATAAATATAATGCATGTCTACATAATTTCCTCGCATGTTGACGTAAGTTAAACGCATCATATAATGCATGTCTACATTATGGTGGCATATTTCTGCCCCCGACATGCAAGATAAATTATGTTAACATGAAAGAAAATTATGTCAACATGCAAGAAAATTATGTATACATGCAAGAAAATTATGTCAACATGCAAGAAAATTATGTATACATGCAAGATAATTATGTATACATGCAAGTTAAAAATCTTTAAAGGGAATCTGATTTAAATATGGGTAAAATCCCGTGCTTTCGCCCGTATCTGACGTCGTAGATGCAAGATGCAAAATAATTATGAGAAGATGCGATTTACTTATGTTAACATGCGAGATAATTATGTTCACATGCAAGATATTTTTGTCAACATGCGAGTTAATTATGTAGACATGCAACTTTTTTAATGTCAACATGCAAGATACTTATGCAATCATGCAAGATATTATGTAGACATGCAGGATAATTATGTTACCATGCAACTTATTTAAGTCAACACCCAGATAGCAGGATGTTATTGGACCTTTGTTTGGCCAACAACGCTCCTTATGTTGGGTCACTGTTTGAATTCGACATTGGGCCATCGGTAATTTGCTCATCGGCCCTTAATCAAACCAACTTGTTGGCTTATTGTTGGGCCAATGTAACAGTTAATATTGGGCCACTGTTGGACCAATGTATTTTTTCAATGTTGGGCAAATGTCATTTTTGTACAGTTGGGCCATTGTAAGCAATTAATGTTGGGCCAACGGTAATTTGCTCATCGGCCCATAATCAGACCAACTTGTTGGCTTATTGTTGGACCACCGAACGGATATCATTGAGCCATTGTTGGGCCACTTATTCTTTCAATATTAGGAAAACATCATTTTTGGGCCAACGTTGGTTTGTATCTTATTGGCTCTCCATCATGACAACTCATTTGCTCTTCACTGGTTGGCCATTTGTCCTCAAAATTGACAAACAAATATATACAATAAGTTTATACTAGTTTTGTAGTACGGTTTAATGGTAAAAGCCCTTTAATACTATCTATATATGCTATACATGCTAGATTAATAGTTTAATACATATTCTCAATATTCTCATAGAATTGCCATCAACAAGTATTACATTGTAAGTAGCTCTACATTAATTAAAAAACTGAGGAAAAAGAAATCAAAATATTAAATTGAATTATAACATACTATAATTTTATTGCTCAGTGCATGAAGAAAACATTAATAAAGAATTAAAAGTTGATGCTCACTTCAAGCGATACATGTAGGGTTACATGACTGTATACTCCCTCTCTGATGTAAATTATGCACAAGTTCAGTAAATTACAGGTATCAATAAGCACGTCTAACAAATAAACAAAGCCCTCCTGTTGTTAAAATAATACTAAAATGAATCCCGTCATTTTGTTTACTTACACAAAAAAATGTTTCTGGCATCTGCATCGTGTTTATAACTGACAAACAGACACAAAAAGGGTAGAACTACAGGTATGTCCCACTATATCACAGAAAAAAGTTAGGTACTGCCACTTTCTATCTGATCCCTCTCCTAAGTCTCCATTTCCTCTTCTCGAGTCTCCTCCTCCCCCTTCTTTTCTTCTCTGTCCGTTTCTTCCTCCCTTATCCCTGTCCTTGGCATACCTTAGCCATTCTTTGATTGTGTTCTCCATGTCTTTTTAGAATCTCCAGTAGCACTAAAATTATAATATTTGGTACTTAATACATTTGTCACTTTTCTCAGAGTAAACATACGATTAAAATTACAAGTATATCACTATATGTTTAAGCTGTCAATTAAGGAATAATATTAACCGTCTTTTTTGTTTCATGGTGTGATTAAGTGATTAGCTTGCATGATGAAGGCATTTATGCATAATATTTATACGCTTGATAATCATCATCAAAACAATTTTGATTCAATGTTGCCCCATATAAAATACATGTATTGAAAATTTGTCGTTACACTGAACAAATTCTAAATGAAAGAACCCAATTTATTTTTAGTACTGAATAAATTTTGTTTTAACTTCAGCAAATTCAACATTTTCAAAATGTTTGATCATGTTCTCGACGTTAAGTGTATATAAGTAAATTAAGTGGTAGACTTAGGAAATGTATTCTACTAGACACAAATTTCAATTTAAATGAGGAGCAAATTATTAATTGTTTTAACTGTATCAAAACACATTTTTATACTTTCATTTATTTTTCTTGTATATAAACAAAAAAATTAATCATTGATTATTTATTTTGTTTCGATAAATTATAAGAATTTTAAATTTGTTTTAGCTAGATTGATTTTTCAAGTAGGATTGGTTGTAGATTTATTTTTGATTGTAGAGACGATCAGATTTGTTAATATACAGATTTGTAACAATTAAATGTTTATACACATTGGCCCAATTTATGTCCAATATATCGGGCCAACATTGGGGCAAGGAGCAAAATGGCACTGGGTAAACGTCATTTGCCAACATCGACCCAATGTTCTTGTTGACGTTTCGCCAACAATGTCGCATTCATTGGGCCAATGTTGGCGCGACGTTGGGCCAATATCTGTAGAAATAACACTCTACATTAGGCAAACGTTGGCCCAACATATCGGGCCAACATTGACTTAAATTGGGTCAATGCCATTTGCCAACATTGGCCCGATGTAACCGATTACATTGGCCCAACGTTGGCCCAATGTTAGCATGCTATCTGTACAGCGTTTACCCAACAGCACCTGGCCTCTGCACTTCCCCGTGTCTGATTTACACAGATTTGTACATGGTATCGTTTAAAATCTAAACGTTAATTCAGCTGTGCCGAGGCAAACATATAATTAATACTTACAAAGTGAGTGCAGATATGCAAGGTATCAGTCTCATTACGCTCGTGTCAGATTAAAAATGACGCGGATATTACAAGTAGTCCGGTTGTTGTCTACCCATGATGCTCAGTCTGATTCATGGTGTATTGGGCCAACGTAGAACCGATGCCAATCCTCAAACAAATATTTTCTCTCATGATAATAGTTTTATGATATAATGCCAACAGTAAGCCCAACATTAGCGCACTATTATACATAACCAGCTATCAATATTCCATGTTGGGCCATTGTTGGCCCAATCAATGAACCCAACAAAGATAATAGAACCATAATGTAAGATTTGGCCAACGGTGTTCTGCTATTTGGGTTATTACAAATAAATAAGCATATACACAATTCAAAAAATAGAATAAACACTCTTTGGTGCTTGATCACTTAAGTGCAAAGTTAAAATTTGAAAATATCATATCTAAACAAAAGCAGTCATCCAATGATAAGCATGGACATAGAAAGTCCTCTTAATTATTTCAGAATATACCAACGTTGTCCCAACGTAAAGCTCAGCAGCTAATTTTAAAATTGACACCATCAATTAGTTGGCAGTATAATAATTGGTCCAACGTTGGCCCAATATAAATATCCCATCTCTGGAGACCTAAACAAAATAACACTTGTGTGTATTACAAACATTGGGCCAACGTTGGGCCAACATACTACTACTAACTTGTAAATACACTTTCTTTAAGGGTGTATTATAAACATTGGTCCAACGTTGGGCCAACGCCATGAACCTTCCTTCTTTGGAAACTAAAGTGAATGGAAGTTGCTTACGTTGGATCAACGATGGGCCAACATAGGAATTCCGTCATGGTCGAGAAGGTTGACTTGGTAACATTCGTCCAACGTTGGCCCAACGTTGTTCCCCCAACGCCAACCATACAACCTTTAACAAATGTTGGCCCAACATAGTCATGCTATCTGGGCACTCAAGATGATAACTTGCATATCAACTTACATATCTTGCATGTTAACATAATTATCTCGCATGTTGACATAAATGAGTCGCATGTTGACATAATCATCTTGCGTATTAACTTGAATGAATTGCATTTAAAATGTCAGATACGGGCGTTAGTAAGTAAATTTACCCATATCTAAATTATATTTTCTTATAAAATTGGTAACTTGCATGTCAACATGTTTACCTTGCATGATGATATAAATATGTTACATGTCTACAGAATTTTCTTGCATGTTAACTTAATTTATCTTGCATGTAGGGGGCAGAAATATGCCACCATACTACATAATTAATTCGCATATTGACGTAAGTTAACCTCATCTTGCATAATTAATTTTGTTGCATCTTGCATCTACGATGTCAGAAACGGGCGTACGTGAGTGATTTTAACCATATTAAAATCAAATTCTCTTACGAGAATTGTAACTTGCATGTCAACATAATTATTTTGCATGTTGACATAATATTCTTGCATGTTAAATGAAATAAATTATCTTGCATGTAGGGGGCAGAAATATGCCACCACATATATCTTTAACTTTTTTGATTTTTTTAAGTAACAATTATTTTTAAAATTATACTGGACTGACTTTTCCCGATGATTTTCTCAAACAGTTTTTATTGTTTCTATTTTATGTCAGAAATTCTAACGAATGAATCGTAATGACACTTTCGTTTTTTTAAAAAATAAATGAACGTTTCAACCTTTTCTAAAATTCATTTTATGTATTACTAAGTACACCATTTGTTTTGTAAAAAATGAAAGGTATCACACATTTTCCTGCTTGGTTAAATGTAATAATTTCTTTCCCTACATTTTCTCTAACAGGTGGTGCATTAAATTTTGTTTTTAAAGAAAGATCAAATACACATGTAGCTGCAGGAGAAATTCAAATTATGGGTATTTTTCTTGACGTAAAATCCAGCTATATCTAAAATCAAATGTATATAATTATGTGCATGTTGAACAATGGTACAATGTAGACTTATTCGATGTCGCGTTTAAATGATCCACATGCAGCATAAAGTCCGAGATTACAATTTAAGTGGTATTCTTTCTTAGGTACGTACAATATATATATTCCATTATGATACTCAGTTTTCTTATATAATTTTCACTCGTGTTTAAACGATACTATTCATAAAACAAATGTTTTACTAAAAAAATCTTACGTACGACTTTTCTGATATACATGTACGTTTAATTGTCTTATTTAATCGTTAATTACTTTTTTGTTGAACTTTAGTTATATATACCAACGATAAAATGTGTAAAATGTTTTAAGGTGAAATATCCCTCTGCTCCAAATTTCGCCCCCTTCCAAATATTTATTTTCTTTAACAGCAGTAGCATTAGATTCAAATGGAAAATATTTGGAAGTGTGAAGCCTTGCTTACTTTTTCAGAAATCAATGATATGTCAAATCATGATGTGAAGAAAATTTGTTATGGTAAATAGAAAGATATATTATTTTTATCTCAGAATATAATTAAAAATAAAAGGTGTGTATACTAATAATGTTCACACTCATACCTATCTAATTCTCATTGGAAAATATTGACGCGGTGCTTTTTAAATCAGAATATCAAATTGTTTTCTGTATTTGTAAAATAATACGCATCCGTCAACAATAGTTGTCTTTCCATTTTCGCCCTTAAAAATATTTTATCAAAAAAAGATATTGATTAAATGCTGATAAAAAATTCTGCATCTAAAATTTCTGTAACAATTACATGAATTATATGTTCGGCCTGAGAGATAGAAATATTTCAATTTACACCGTTTAAAGGAACTGAGTGTGAATGGTTTGTATACCCTAATATAAAAAAAACTAGTAAAAATATTGGCAATAGAAACTAAAAATCAACATCTTGACAATTGAACAAATTTGACCGAGTTGAATAAAAAATGGTCCTCATGAATGAAATAAGTAAAATCTTACATGAAAATTCCTTGAATTTCATGTAAAAATGTCTTCAGAAAGTTATCTCTCTTATCAGAGGAATATTACACCTTAAACCTAAACATTGTTTGAACGAGAAGTATACCTTAATAAAGTAAAGAAAAGTAAACTCAGTTTACACAAATTACACATCTTTGAATTGTATAAACTTATAAGTTCCTCTAATCGCACGATGTTCGCAATCATATTCAATTTCAGTTTGTCGGGATGCATGAGAAAAGGCCATCAGCAGTGCGTGTGTTGGTATCATTATCTCTTCCTTTTTGCCTTTGGCTTTGGGCCATTGTCGCACCCGGATGCTTTATCATAAAATGGGAAAGCACAAAAGCACTACCTGTATCAGTTCATAAGGCAAGATATTGTATTGAATTGCTATAAGCTTACACATATATGAAACACCTGGACTGTCTAATCATGTGACTCAGTCATTATGTGGTGTGTACTTATCATTATATGACGTGCACATTTCATAAATTATGTACTTTCAATAGCAATTACGTCCTGAATTTATCGCATGTTATGCAAACATCTTTTTGTGGTGTGGAGGCTTTAAAACATTTTGTTGATATCGTTAATGCCCATCTTCTTTTCTTCTGCATATATTCATCATAAGATGACTTAAACATAAATCAGATATGGATTTATTGATTGAAATATTTTATTAAAATACCATAAATTTATATTGAACAGATATAATGGTTTTAAGTTTATTGAATTTAATTTCTTTTCATAAGTATAAGTGAAAAAACTCGTAAACAAACTTTCCAAAAGTGATGCTACATGTACGTCCTTTAAATATGATTTTCGAAAAAAATGATTTTTTCAAATGCAATTTCTATGTTTGAATGTCTGCATTATCCACTGTTGTAAATGAAGAAGGAAGATGTTTCTATCACGATAAAAATTGTGAATCACGACGAAAAGATGTATTAATAACTTACACCACACACTTGACTTTTGAACACGACGTAATTGCTTTTGAACATACACGATCGAATGAAATATGCATTTCACATATTGACAAATGCACACCGTATAATGAATAAATCATACAACATAATGGCAAAAGCACATCACATAATGATAAAATCACATCACGTAGTGATAAAAGCACATCATGTAATGACTTAGTATGTAAACCAAAAATGACAAAAGCACACCACAAATAATGACAAAAACACACCTCATACAATGACAAAATCACATCACATAATGACACGCGTACATCATATAATGATAAAAGCACATCACAAAAAGAAATATGAACATCATCAAATTATTTTTGTCAAGAAAAGACTTACCAATGTCACTTACAATTTACTCATAATGTTATAGGTTACGAAACATGACTCAAAGATTGTGACTATTATCAGAGACACAAATAAAAACATTATTTATGTCTCTGCTGCGATTATAATGCTTGTCGAAGAGTACATTACATTTTTAAAAATGCTGATGAACGTTCACTCGGCTTGATAAAATGTCTGTTCATGTAATGATGCGAAAATGAATATTCATTGCCTTGATTCTGAATATTAATCATTCAGTTTCAAGAATAAATATTCTAGAAGATACAATTTCTATTAAGATTGTTCTGATTCTAACAGTGATGCATGTTTATAATTAGTTCTATCCAAACAAATTACTGTGATAAATTAACATGTCTTTCTTTTTTTTTTAGTATAACCCTCTTGTACCCTCTTTGATGAACAGTAAATCTGACCCTCTGAACACTACGGTAATAGACCTCATTAACAAAATCAACATTTATTCATTACCAAAACTTTTTGAATGTTATAAATAAATCTAGTAATCTAATAAATCTTAATAATAAATCTAGGCTATAAATGACACATCTATAGCCTAGAGTTCATGTATATGTACATGTTTATGTGATGTCTACCATCCTCGATATACATGTATATTTTTAATTGAAATTTAATCTATCTTGATATAAGATAACTCACATAGAATGCTTACATGTATGATGCAAAAAAAGATGAATTATATATATTTATTTAAACTATAAGCATAAAAGTCATGAGTACAATTTGTTAAGCAAAGATTTACACGTTTATGTTGGTGTAAAAAAATCACCAATGCAGTTTGTTAAATGATCTGAAACTACATCTATATTGCAACCATTTCCCTTTTGCTGTATAAAGAAAAAAGATTGTTTCAGATTGTGCATCTAATTTCTCGCATAAATTTAAGAAAATTTATCCCCCCAAAAAAACGTTTTAGGAGGGATGATGTGCAAAAAGCTTGACTAACGATTGCATGCTGACGAGGATTAATGAATACGAACCAAAAAGAGCAAAATCATTAGATTGATCAGATAACATTGACATGAATGCGAATTAACCTACAAAAAAATTCAGATATGTTAACATTTGCCATATCAGATCTTTGACATACTGTTAATCATACTTCATTCGCTAGAATTTACGATTCAATAAACAATCCACTTGCGAAAATTAAATTCTCGCCATTATTTTTATTTGTTAATGATATAAGGCATGAAAATAAAGTTCCACTTAAAAAAAATATTATAAATTTTATTTCGATTTTGTGATTGAATGAATGTTTATATTTTATCTACAACCAGTCTGATATTTTTTTTAAACCTGAATAAATTACTCTTTTTTAAACCTAGTAATCTGTTTGGGTAGTACTCGTAAACAGAAACAAAAAAAGAAGGAAAACACTGCAAGAGTAGTTAATTTCAGCGATCATGCTGTGATATATTCCATTGATTGGGATTACATTTATTTCAATGCTATGACTTTATCTCATAAAGAACTAAATAGGGAATTTGAAAACATATATATAAACACATACTTTGTAGTTTGCAAAATAATTCACGAAATCGTTTCAGACTAAATATTCTCTGGAGATGAGCATCTTTTACGTCACTGTATGTGAGTCTGGAGTATGCGTACAAGTGGACTATGAGAAACTCCCCCCAAAATTAAGAAACAGTCTACGTAAGTCAGCAATTCATTAAATACGTTATATTTCCACTATTGATGAGTTATAATTCCTAGTGCGCTCTTTTGTGTAAAATTCGGAGATTGTACTGTAACGGGAACCAGTGTTATCAATGGACTAAAATAAAACAAACCTTTTCCAAAGCACAAGTCCTAACTTTGATTTAATAATTTAATTCAATATACTATATTGATTATAGAACTTGGGATTAGAAAGTCTTATTAAACCAATTTATATGGGCTACACTGGTTAAATTATCTACCCTGGTTCTTTAGTGATTCCCAGATTATGATCATCACCTTGTTTTGAAATGAAAAGATTTGTAAAGTTTTATAATTTATTATAACAAAGGTAAAAATAGGACTTTAGACTAGTTGATAACAAAAAGCAAAATGTTTCCAAAAAAATATATAACAAATAGATTTATCCAAAAATAATTAAATAATTGAAAAATATTGGGGGAGAATGTGACTTCAAAAATATGTATTTATTGTACTAAAGAGCTTCCATACACCCAAGAATGTAGGCCTATATAAAAATAAACATAGGGATAACCTATCAATATATGTAACTGAAATAAGGTAAGGGATATCTAATTCTACCCTGAACCAATAAATGAGTGACTCTACTATGGGTATCTACATTATACTACATAAATTTGCTACCGAACTTGAAGTTCTTAAGAAGCACGAACCTTGCGTTCTTGACCCCTAGCAGAGTGAATTTTACTAGTTGAGTTGCTCTATATATAGGCAGAGTAAGCCAATTATACACTAAAAATAAATGCCTAATCTGATTGGCTAGGACTAAGTCTCTTAACCAATAGAATTATAGAATACATATTACGTTTGGTGTGACTGACAATATGGCGGGTTCAATGAATTACTTAAAGAAGTGAAAGGTAAACATCTGTAAAATCGAAATATTAACTTTGTACTATTTTTAAATGACTTCGGAAGTAAATACAAGTATAATTGGCTTAAGGTATTAACATTATAGCTATAAATCTGACTTAGTAAGGTAGTAAAACATCAAAATTGTCACATTCCTCCCCCCTTAAAACAAAAATTACAATTTTTGTATAAATGTAAACAGATAATTTTTATCTTAATTAGTGTTTATATACTCCATCTGGATACCGATGATCCCTGGCATTGTAGTCGTCATTGAGTGTGAAGAGGGGCTCTCTAGGTAGGCTTTGCTGCCTCTCCAACCTGGCATTTTCCCTTTCTTCCCTATGGATTTTTTTTCCGTGGGCACTTGAAAGATCCAGGGTTCACGTATTTCTTATTTGTCACTATCTTCCATGGAATTTGTCCCATAAGGTTGTCCTTGTGTTGTTTCCCTTGATGACTGGTAATCTCTGATCTCTTGGCATCTTTCACGTGACATAAGGGGCAACTGAATAGCTGTATCCTTTCCTTGTGAAAGCGGTCGAAGTGTGCTTTATAATTTCCTAGATGCTGGAAATGATGGTCTTTTGAAGTGCAGTAGAGGACGGGACAATTCATGCCCTTTTCTGGCCACTCGTCACCTTCTTCTTCTTGCAACAACTCCTTCAGTTCTTCTTCCTCAACATTTACATTAAGAACGTTTTCCATTCTAATAAAGAACAAGATGCAAACAAAATATTATTCAACATATAGAATTAATATTTTTCTTCAGCTCCACCTAAGAGAATAGTTACTTAATACGGGATGTAACGTTAAGTTAGATACATATCATGACTATTCATCGAACACGCTAATAAGTTAATATACCGGTATAAGTTAAACTTAGCATGTGTAGAGATCTCTACTGTTGTACTTCCATAACTTCTATCATAATCATGATGTCTAACTTACTGGATTGTAATCTAACTCAGTAAATTAAGATAATTTCTCTGTTCATCTACTGAACCACAAATATATTGTAGTTTCTATCAATGAATCATATCTATAAAACTGAAGTTAGATAAATTAAATGATTTAAGACAGAATATACTGTTCTGACTTCTAGATATTACATGTATACTAGATCAACTACGGCGTTTCATGAAAAATGAAGCATCTCTCATTGACTATATCAATAAAATCAAAATCAGCTGTAAGTTTGAAAGAAAAGAAAAAAATGGAACTGATAAAAATATAAACTTTGAATGAAGATATCAAAGAAACTGCTTGTGGAAAATTGAACAAATTTGGAAATATAGTCTCAATGTTATCAACTAATATACCATATCCACTTGTCTATAAATATGTATAATAAAAATAATAAAAAGAGATTGGTTCAGGGAGAATAGATATCCCTAGGCTTTATAGCTCGACCAACTCTGGACCTCTTAATTACTGGACTGGGGTTTCTTAAAGGAGATGAAACAAATTCATCTTCACTACTGAATTCATTCTCTAAAGGGGTAATTTCGAAATCTGAATTTGTGTCTTCGGGAGGAGTAACTAGTATCCAGCTGTCTGGTGGAGACACACCCTCATAAGGTTTCAGGTGATCCACATGCACTACTATACATGAACTAGTTGGGGTTTTCTTAATTCTATAGGTCACCTCTGTAATTTTGTCTATAACTTTATATGGACCTATCCACCCTAGACCTAATTTTACTCCTGCTGTTGGAGGATACCATCTCCAGACAAAATCATCTTTTGAAAATGTTCTTTGTTTTAAACCCCTATCATAATATTTCTTCTGTTTAATAGCAGCTTGTTCCAGATTCCTATGTACAAAATCATGAGTATCAGTCAAAACACCTTTCAACCATTCTACATATTCACTGGGACAAATGGGATTGTGGGTGTCAGACGGATTACCTATGATTAGATCTATAGGACTATTATTTTCGCGACCAAACATGAGCATATTGGGAGAAAAACCAGTACTCTCTTGTATTGATGATCTATAAGCCATGAGAACATATGGTAAATTCTCATCCCAATTATTTCTGTTGTCATTTGCATAGCTAGTTAACATTTGCTGCAAAGTCCTATTAAACCTCTCGACCAACCCATCGGACTGTGGCCTATAAGGTGTAGTCCTTGTTTTTTCTATCCCTAACTTTTGGCACAATGTTGAAAAGAGCTCAGACTCAAACTTGCGACCTTGATCTGTGTGAATCTGCCTAGGAACTCCGAACTTACAAATAAATTCAGAGACAATTTTATCTCCAACTGTCAAAGCTTGATGATCCGAAACTGCATATGCCTCAACCCATTTAGTAAAATAGTCACGGAGAACTATAATGTATTCATTTCCATCACTAGTGACTGGGAGGGGACCTACAAATCAACTCCTACAATATCTAATGGAGCACCTGTTATAGACTGACGAAGAGAGGATCTCCCTAAACCTGGACCATTTTTAGCTCTATCTAGCACATGTATTACACTGTGCACACCATTGTTTGATATCTGATGACATTCCTGGCCAATACACTCTTCGTTTAATGGACCTAAGGGTACGCTCCCTACCTAAATGTCCTGCAGTTCTATTATTGTGAAGTTGTTGAAATATTGTCAATCTGATTTTCCTAGGAGCTACAAGCAACAGAACTTCTCTATCATCTGACATTTTCCACTTATAATACAGAATGTTCTCAACTACTGTCAATGATTCCCATAAACCCCATAATGTTTTTAAATCTTGGGATGCGTCTAGTACAGTGTGACGGGGTGGTTTTGTAATGTAAGCTTCTTTGAACTTAATGATTTCTCTAATTGCAGGTTCTGCTTGTTGCATGTTTTTAAGCTCATCATGTGACCATGTGTGCAGCCAATTTGTGTCATTATCATGAAAAGAATCTGTCATATCTGTTTCACTATCACTAACGGACCTACTAGAAGCCCTTACAGGAGCTACTCTACCAGTTTCGGATTCAGTATGAGAACCCTTGTGGATAAATATCGCCACTTCATAACTATGACTCTCTACATGACAATCTGGATAGTCTTGACGTTTGCAATAACTGGCAGGTCTACGAGATAAGCTATCTGCGTTATTATGTAACCTTCCTGGTCTATGTACTATACTGAAATCGTATGTTTCTAAAATAGAAAGCCATCGAGCCAGCATCCCTTCAGGGTTTTTTAAAGTTTTTCAGCCAGATTAATGATGCATGGTCAGTCTTACATGTAACTGTAAAGTGCCTACCCCAAAGAAAATGTCTGTACTGTCTGATGAATGTAACTACTGCTAATAACTCTTTGTATGTTGTACAGTACTTATTCTGATGTTTCTTTAGGGTGCGACTAGCATATGCCACAACTCTCTCTTCACCATTTTGTATTTGAGACAAGACAACACCTATACCAGTGTTACTAGCGTCAGTGTCTAGAATAAACTCTGAATGATTATCAGGGTATGCCAAAATGGGAGCAGTAGTAAGTAGTTCTTTAAGCTTGTCAAAAGCAACTTGGTGTACAGGGGTCCATAAAAATTTTGCCTTTTTCCTAGTTAAATATGTCAGAGGACTAGCAATTGTTGAAAAATCTGGGATGAACCGCCCATAATACCCTGCAAGCCCAAGGAAACTAGGAACTTCTGTAGCATTACTAGGAACTGGCCAAGTTTCAATACTGCTGATCTTCTCGGGATCACATTGAATCCCTTGCTCTGAAACAACGTGACCTAAGAAAGAGACCTTTTGTTGAAACAAATCACACTTGGATGGTTTAAGTGTCAAGTTTGCTGTTCTTAACCTATTAAATACTATTTTCAAATTTTCTACTGCCTGTTCAAAACTGGAACCAAACACAATGATGTCGTCAAGATGACAAAGACATTTTTCCCATCTAAGACCCCTAAAAACTAGTTCCATTAACCTCTTATAACAACTAGGGGCATTAGAAATTCCAAAAGGTAGAACTTGGAATTGAAATAAACCCATGTGAGAAGTGAACGCAGTTTTAGGTTTGTCTTCCTCTTCCATCTCACATTGCCAATAACCCGAGACAAGATCTAAAGTACTGAACCATGAGGCACCTGCTAATGCATCTAATGACTCGTC